CGGAGGTACAGTCATTCGTTCAGGAATAGCATCCTCACTCGTCTCGGTGCCTCCGGTGCTGCGTGAAGTGTCGTCTTGAGGGCGAAGTGTTGTTTTAATTGATGCCGGCGCGTGGGCCGCTGAACCGCTGCCGCATCGCTGCTCCGCCGACCGCATGCCGCCCAATGCGTCTGCTTCACAGGCTTGACAGGGACCGCGGTTGCTAGGGCAGGCGCCCGGCGTCCGGCCTTGACGCCCGGGGATGACTGTAGACCCGGTGCAGGAGGCCGCCTGCCTACCGGCCGGCAGATACGAGTTCAAGGACTCGGGCATCTACATCGGCGAATGGCTGAACGAACGGGCCGTCGGGCTCGGTCTGATAACGAAAGACAAATGCCAAGGCGAGTACACGGGTCTGTGGGAGAATGGGTCGGAGAAGAGCGGCGTCTTTTTGTGGCCCAACGCGCCGGGCGCCATGTACGAGGGAGAGTGGGCCAGCAACCGACGAAACGGCTGCGGAGTGTTCACACGCGAGGATTGGATTATCATCGGCAGGTTCCAGGACGACTTCATCACGATGGGCGTCAAGTGCAAGGATCAGTCGATCGGCAGGTTCGAGGGGAAGTTCGAGAACGGGTTTCCCCAGTTCGGAGTGGAAACATACGCGGACGGAGGTAAGGCCATACCGAGACTGGCTGGCGGAATGGTGACGGGTCGTGCATGAAACAGGTGAACAGAGCACTAGAGTGGCCAAGGAAGTGGAGATGACGAGCGAATGGTAAACTCGAGAAAAGATGGAGGGCTGGCAATGAGGCAGGGATGTACGAGATGGAGTCAAGACGTAGGCAAAAAGAGAAAAAGTGAAAGGAGAAAGGAAAACATAATGATTGAATGATGGAATGTAAAAAGAAGAATAGAAAAATGGGAAAAAAGATGGGGAGCGAAAATCTGGAAGAGGCAAGAAGAAAGCGAGAGGAGACAGATGAGAGAAAATAAAAATAAAAATAAATGAATAAATAGAGGGA